CAGCAGGAAACGGTCTCTTAGTGAACAGTTCTCTCCTTCTGCCTCTGGTAATCTGAAAGGAGAGAGAGAGGATATTAGTAAGGCTAAAAAGGTAAGATGGAGAGAAAGGACTTCTCTAAGTGAGCTGTGCTCTATATGAAAAATGTCCCAAGCCTGAGAGACTGGAATAAGACCTATTTGCCTGTAGATTTTAAGTGTTGAGAATGGGGCGGGGGTGGGAATTGGTGGATACCACAGTAGTAAGGGTGACAGATGAAGTTTCCAGGACTACTTAATATATTGGAATGACTAGAACACTTTCTCTGCTCCTATGCAGCAGCTGTCTTTGAGATGGCATGTTACCAGCTCAACTGCTTCTTTCTTTACTTCCTCTAGCACTCTTGTACATAGGTGTGACTTATCAACTTGTTTTAGCAACTTGCATCCTAGGTGAGAATGCTGATACTTAACTATCTTTAATGTCAGAAAAGAATGAGGATCCCGTCCCTTGTTCTCTGTGGTAAGACTGATTTTGGGGGGGGAATAGTTTGGTTTCACTGTAACTTCTTCACCCTCTTGTTTGCCCTACTTTTCAGAATGATCTTACCAATGTGCATGTCACTTTTGTGCTTCAAGGTCTCTCATCCCTATTAGTTTCCACCTGGTTTTACTTCACTTTGAAGATGTATTTCCTTTTTCTGAGATACTTGTTTGGTTTGGTCTTCTGAACCCTTTGCTTTTCAATCCATCTCTGATCTTTATGGTTACTGAATCAGCAGATTTTTGTGGATTTAAGACTTGTTCATTTTGGACAGGGGGCTCTTGGCCAGCTTTTTTTATGAAACATTTCTCTGTACAAGAAAAGTACCAACATCTGGAACTAATACCAACTAACAAACAAGCAGTTCAGCTAGAGTTACTGAACCAACTCCTGTGTGGTGCTGAAGACTAAATAGTTGCTTTCAAGTGCTCTGCAGCCACCTCTTTTGATTAACAGTCATTTAAGCTGTTGAACTGCTTCTCCAAAGCTTTTTCTGCTATGACATGACTAATTTATATGCCAGTAGTTGAAGTCATAGGTTACTGTTTTGACTTGGTGCATAATATTGAGAGCAAAGCAGCAATTATGGTTCTATCTGATCTGAAGGCTGCTAGTTTATCCCTATATTTAGGACTCCAGACTTGTAATGATCAGGTTAACTGGCGTCAGCAGAGCTGATGAACTGCTGGGATGCAAAACAGTAGGAATCTGCTATGCTGCCAGAGGAACTAACAGAAGCTTACTGTAGGGGAAGAAGCGGACACGCATGGTGATTTCACGGGCAGTCTTCAGGATCTCCACAGCCTGAAAGTAGCAGAAAGATATTTGTAAGTGAGGACTAAACAGACAACGATCCAGTATTACCCAGAACCTCAGATGGAGGGTCCAGCCTCAGAAGTTGGCAGTGCTTTAGTAGCAATTTGCAGTCAGCTGGCTTTGCACCAGGGATGACCACCACATTAAGGAAGGAATACAGGAGCTCTTCCACTCAACCTGCTTCAGGCCTGCAGTATATGTTCCTGGGTTCTTCCGCATGTTGGGTCACTTTAAAATCCAGTGTGAGCTCCCAGCCAAGAATCTCTCGGCAGACAGTGATCACTCTCCCCCTTTGTGAGTAGGGGAATAGAACAAAGGGAGCTGCATATGATCAGCCACTGAGTTGGTAGGAATAGCTACTGAGAGGTGGGTGCCTAGGTCCTATTTCTAGTCCTCAAAGCTGTCACATGAGTATGCACCACTGCTTTGGCAAGGCACTCCAGCTAGGGCAGTTCTATAAAGAAGCCAGGTCAGCTCTGCATCACATGGACTTGTTCCTTTAGCTTTTTTCTGTGCCTTGAACTTCCACAAGCAGCCTACGCCCCTGCATTTGAGCTGCCAGGGGAGCTCTCACCTTGCTGTGCTCAATGTCCTGGAAATCCACATCGTTAACTGAAAGGACCTGGTCTCCTTCCTGCAGCCCTGCTCTGTGTGCATCCGAGTCGGGGATCACCTGCAAGTGAATAAGAGGGGGCAATGCTGGCTGTCTGCATGGCCAGTGTTGCACAGGCCCTTTCCACAGACAGGTCAAATCCAACAGACCCATCTTAGCAGCACTGTGCCCCCCTCCATCCCCTGGTTTCTACTTCCAGTCTACCTTAGAAAGACCAAGGTGGGAAGGGGAGAGGCTCAGGTCAGTACTGAGGTATGTTTAGAAAGCTGCATTTGTAGGGGGGAGCTCAAAGCTGACATTGGAAAGGGTACTCTCAGATAAGTCTGTCCCAGACTATTGATTCTGTGGTACTTGGCAGCTCCTAATAATGAGTCTAGAGTTGTACAGAGCATTTGAGCCTGATCCAAAGACAGAACAGTATATACCTGCTCAGTCCAGGTGAATAAGTATAAGAAATAGCAGAAAGCAATATAGCTGAGAGATCAAGGAAATGGTGGATAGAGGCGTGAACACACCTTGGAAATGAAGATTCCCAGCTGAGATGCCTTTCCTCCTCGGATGTTGAAACCAAGCTGTGACAGAGACAGAGGATTAGCACCTTCCTTTGCCACTGGAACCCTCCCAGCAACTGGGGCTCATACTCCAGAGACAGAAAGGAAGGACAGATGCTACTAACCCTGCTCTGGGAACTACTCTGCCAGAGGAGCCAAGGAGATGGTCATGAGAATGTCAAACTGCGTTATTCCTTATCCCTGCAAAGTGGCATGTTCCTCA